ATAAAAACTATCTAGCATTTTCAGGCCAAACTGCACAATTTTGATTCCATATCAATTGCCAAATTCTTGGCAGTTCAAGGAACAGAGCCACAGAGTTTTATTAGGACAATAAAAACAAAACACATTCAAAGCATATTCACTTACCATCATGCAGCCAAAGAGCCACATGGACTTGCCACAGGAATATAAACAAATGTTTGCTAACCAGTCACTGGCCAATACCAACTACAGCACAAACGATTGTGTAGTTTGTAGTTTAACAGTCAAGGTATATCTGTAGCACACTAGAGGCTTCAACTAAATTTGTCCTTCCCAGAAGGGAACCCTGGAAGCTACAGTTCTGTTGCTCAGAGTCTAAGATCTCTAACAAAGAATTTCAGTACACTCACCAGGTAACTCCTAGGGTTCTTGGGGGGAGAGAGAGGGAGAGGGAGAGGGAGAGAGTGAGGGAGAGAAGGGAAAGGAGGTGATAAAGTGTGCTATATCTCAAATGTCTTAGGATGTAGTCCTATGGCTTCCCAATGTTATCTGGAGAGCATAGGATTATTTGGTGCCCCAGCTCTGAGATCCTGGGACTTTGGAACTGGGGCTCCAAAGGCCAAGCCACCATGCCGTCCACCTTGCAACTGGTGAGGAAAGAAGAGAATCAGCTGCCTCTATGAAGATGCAGCTGGACCTTGGAGAGGCAGAAAAGGGGCACCCCAGCCTCCTTCCTCTCCCCACACTTGGGTGTTTAATCTAGACAGCTATCTAGTTAATACACATTGTGAGACTTACATTAGCGTTTGGAGGCTTACGCACATTCAGAGTGGGCAGGTGGGCACTGCATTGCATCTTTAGTGAACCTACCCAGCACTATTCTACCTGAAATACATTATAAGTTGGAAAAGGCACAGAAAAGGGCAACCAAAATTGAAGCTAGCAAGGATAACCTAAAATGGTATTTCTGACAGTATATTTTACCACATAGAGGCTCAAGGTTTTGCAGCTTTCCCGATGTCATCCTAAATATCAACATTACCCTTTGATGGGTGATGCCATTAGGTTAATACGACAACAGAAACTCTCCACATATATGAATGTGAGGTAAACACTTTGTGCACTCCAAGCTCCACCACCATCACCACCTAACTAGTTAATGAATGGATGCTATTTAAAAGGCATTAATAACAGGGAAGTCTCTTAAGTCTACCGAGAGCAGCAAGAATCCAGATGCCAAGTTTAATGAACGGAAGGTAGTTCATGGTAGGAACTCCAACTGTTGCTTGAAAAGGGTGCAGAAGGGAAAAGTGAGGGTTCAAGATCCTAAGCTAATTTTATTTAAAAGGGGATATTTTCACTTGTTCTCATTTTATCATGATTTTTGCAAGGGGTCAATTTGCCATTAAGCATTAGTATGAACTGAAAACTAGTAGATGTTCTTCTAGGAGTGGGAGCTGAAGGTGTGGGCAGAAGGTCCCACATTAAATTGCTGGTGAATCCACTGAGGCTATAACTATGCCCTCCTCAAACTCTGAAAAGCTACTGCCAGTCAGTGTCAATAATACTGAGCTAAATGGACCAAGGGTCTGAGTCAGTGGAAAGCAGCTTCCTACACCCCTGTCCTTAAATTTCACTATGTCTGAAGAATGAACAAGTAGCAAGTCTCCGACCTCTTGCATTATAACAGTCCCCATTTTTAATCTTCACTTCTTTTCAGGAGCTCAGGATGGCTTATATGGGTTATTGCCTTTTCCAATCTCATCCTCCTAGCCCTTGATAAGTAGGTTAGGCTGAGAAATAATGAGTTAACAGCTTCGTGGCAGAGCGGGGATTCAAACCTCAATCAAAATGGAAATATTTACAATCCATTGCAGTGACACTTCAGACTCCCAGGACACTCCATTACTGACCTTAAGAACAAAAAAACTTTGAAAAAAGATTTCAACATGAAAAAGTGAACTGCAGTACATCAGGCGGATCAGTTCTATCCTCCTCTGGGTATCTCTGGGTGTCTTAATCATACTACGTGTGAATGGCCACAGGACAGAGGAACAGCAGCTAAGCTGAACTGGTCTCTGTGTTCAGAAGGGGCAGCTTGGCATAGCAGGTATACTCTTTGGTTTGGGCTGTGTTCAAATTCCTGCTCAGTCACGAAGCTCACTCCATGGCTTTGGACTAGTCTCTCTCAGTTTCAGTGACCTCAAAGGGTTACTGCAAGTGCAGGATGGAATGAGTTCGTTTTATCATGTACACTGCTTGAATCTCCTTGGAAGAGAGGCCGTACATAAATGTGATCAATAAGGAGTGTACTTACTGACTGCTGAAGCTAATTTGGCTGGGAGAAACTTGTACTGCTTCAGATGCGCATTTGAAAGCATCCCAGTCTGTTCACTGCTCCAGGTCAGGGGGCTGAAGACCCTCATAGCACAGAAGACCACTAACAAAGGGGCAGTGGGGCCACTAGCAGAGCCGAAGCACCAGGACTTTTTGATTAGCAGAGATGACTGGCCACCCCAACTCAGGTTTCCCTGTTCCCACTGAACTTAACTGGGGAGAAAGAAAGAAGTACATTTCCCCAGCAACAATATATTGTTGTGAGCCTTCCCTGTGCAGTGCAAAGGCGTTTTGAAGTGCTCTGCTCTTGAATACAGTTAGGACTCATTAGCTTTACAAAAGTCCCAAAACTGCTGTCTCCAGTTCTGGATTCTTCTTGGGGGAACATCTAAGGAGACAGCCATGATGTGTGCCCGTATTTCAGATTTTGCTGCAATACCACTGACCATTTTGATCTCTGTAGTAATATACTATCCACTGTCAGTTTGCTGGGCCTGTCGCAACTGCACCAGAGCCCCCTTTGCCAGGTCATTTTGGAGTGACCCAGGATGGCCTTCATGGCTGCCATAACAGTCCTGAGGCTCAAGACCACACCATACTTTACCCAATCCTAGCAATCCCTTACTGTGTTCTGTTACCATCTCTCATGACATGGATTTGGGGTTGGACTTTAAGATGCTACAGTACTGACACACTGCAACAGTATCACGTAACAATGGTTCTTTCCACCATAAGTGCAAGAGCCAGAACTTTTTATCTCCCTCAACACCCAAAATGGTAAAAGAGGAAGTAAAGAAGAAGAAAGAAGAAGACCTCTGACCATTAGAAACAGTGGTTAACAAATTAAATACACGTTAATACAGTGTTTACTTGCAAGCAGGTCCTGTTGTGTTCAGTGGGGTCTGTTCCATAGAAAGTGCATTTAGGACTGCGGTCATGTAATCATCAGAGAAGTTTACTAAGCATTGGTCACCTTGCCAGGGGGCATGGGTGGCAAGAGGCAAGTTCTCCTGGAAACCTCAGTAAGGGTAACTGCTGCGGGCATGAACTAAGCTGCAGCTACTGATGTCACACAAGGGCTGCCCATCAGATGAGTACCTCTGCTCTGGCATCTAGTGACAGGTCTTTTAGAAGAAGACCAGGTACTGAACCAGGGAGTCTTCTGCATGCAAGCACTGCAGACCTACCACTGAGATACTGGCCCTCAGTAAAGCAACTGCACCCGCTCCCTCATGGTAGCTTAGCTGGCAGCTGGAATTCAACATGTGCAAGGGATACAAAGCTAGAGGATGGATGCCAGAATAGTCTGTAGCTGACAGGCAGAATTCAAAATGAATAAAGAAACCCTATTCCCAATGGATCCTATCTTACAGAATGCAGTAGATCTAGCGTTCCTGGCCATGGGGCTGGCTTTTCTAGATCAGACACAAATGTTGCCCATTATTTAAAATGCAAACATATTTTCTAGAAGAGCTTCCTCTTTCCTTCAATTTCTGTTTTAAGCTGACTTGACATTCCTACTACTTTTTTAACAGAAGCGTGATGCTCAGTTACACCCATCAATTATCTAATGTAGCCAATGAAGAGCAAGTTTATTTTCCAGTATGCCAAAAAGCACCAAACATGTATGTTGAGATTTAAAAGATACTGTTTTGCCTTTTATATTGATGTCTATAGTTTGAGTAGGGGAGGGTGAAAATCTGCTAGTACCCTCAGCTCTGAAACCCCCCCCCCCCTTAAAATTTACTACATTTCCTTCCCTCCCTATAATTTAGGAAGAAAAAATGTGCCTGTCTCAGTTGTTCCACTTTGGAATCTGGTGCTGGAAATTGAAGCTTTTCCAAAAAAAAGAGAAAAAAAGTGGAACACTTTGTAGCTGTATCCAAGAAGCCCTGTTGTGATGTAACAAACACCTCCATCACAAATTTCTAGATGATAGAAAGGTGTTGTTTATTACTCTATGCCTGCACACAGTTTTTGGTTTATTATACTCCTCCCCCACCATGGTTTATCTGTTCCACACATATTACAAATGAGAATGCCAGAGAAATCGCAAAACACTATGATGTGCTTGGAGCTGGGAAAAAAATAGTGAAGTGCTATAATGGTAACAATTTATAAACAGTAAGCTGATTTTCACCATGGTTTATCCCCCAAAACCTGAAACAGATAATTCCCCCCTCTCTCCAATAGTAGAGACAGCCCCAGCTGAGACCCAATGATACTTGTGCAAAATGAAGAGGTGAGATACAAACCTACCCCCTTATCTAAAGTATAATGGTTAAGACAGATGTGTGTTTGCACGTTCGTGTGTGTGAGAAGATGGAGACTGAATGTGTAGGTTGCATATAAAGAAGTAATATGGCATTGCACAATTTACTCCTCCATCACTCCCAAACTTTGTAACTTTCGTTATTTTTCCAATGTGAATTGAAATGGGGTGGTGGGGGTTAGTATGCAACAATTATTTGTAAGGAGGTTGCGGAGTTCTGCTTCAATACTGTCCTATGGTTTTCTCCCACTTTTAAACTCAAGGTAATATCACAAACCTGGAATTATTCTGAATTTCCTCCTCAAGATCCTTGCTAACCCTTATCCATCCCCTGCTTTTTAGCAAGATAATTTCATTTCTCTCCACTACCTCCTTGCAACCATCATCAAGTATTGTTATTTTTACGTCTTACCATTATATTTCACTCCGGGAGGTGCACCTCACAGAAAGGCACGTCTGCAAAGCTAATTTGACTCAATTCCCCTAGAGAAACATTAATACAACTATGTCACACTAGTAATAGTGAACAGGTCTCATAACAGCAACGACAAGTGGTAGGCTTCAGCAGCTTTTAAGCCTGGAGATTTTGATCAGCATTCCTATCAGTCAAAACAAAACAACAAAAAACTGCGCCAAAACAGGAGGGGAGAGGAATCCCCCCCCCCAATCCGCGCAACGCTGACCTACACAAGTTTTCTAAATCAAGCCTATGGCTTTGGTAAAGGCTCTACTTTCCTTCTGCACCGTGGCAAGAAATGGATGGATAAATAATGTTCTCTTCTTCCACACGTTGAAACCAGTGGCTTGTGATGGCCGTTTCAATGACACCTTTCGAGTTTCTCCAGTAAGTCGCCCTTTCTCCAGTACTCACACTGTTACATATCACCATTAGCATCAGCTCATTCTAGGAAAGCAATCCATCTTTGCCAAATGCCCATCTCCTACACTAGCCCAAAACTCCACAAGGCTCAGGTCCACACGTCTCCAAACTATTCCGCAACTACGAAAGTCCGCTGGCTTTTTGATGGGGGTCGCGAAGCATCCGCGGGGGTGGGGGAGATTCAAAGTTGTATCTTTCTCCCATTTTAGTCTCGCTCCTTTCCCCCCTCCACCCGCCCCTCCCACTTTCCCCCACCCTCCCCTGCCCTAAAGACCCTTCACAGCATTACCGGGGGGGGGGGGCTACCCCATAACCCCAACCTCAAAGCAATGCGGCGGTTTTTGCAGAGCAGGCAATCGACCCTGGCGGATCTCTCAGCGTCGCCCCCACCGCCGTTGATCGAGCCCCCCGCGTGGAACTGGGACGAGGATCCAGAGGATGCCCCCCCCGCGCGCGCCCGTGCCCGCTGCTCACACGCGGGGAGGGCAGCCCGCCGCCTACCTTGCTCGACGACCGTCTGCGGGCTGCCCCCCATCTGCCTTCCGCTCTCATCTTGGGAAGCGCCAGCCTCAGTTTGGCGGCGACAGAAGCTGCCTCGTCTCGCATAGCTCCCTCGCTCGCCCCTCCTCTCCTTCCTCCCTTTTGTTAGCGGAGTTCCTCGCGGTTTCAAAGGAGTTTTCCCCCGGCTGCGCGAGCTCTCGGCTCCATAAGGATCAGCCCCCCCCCCCGGCTTTCCCCCCACCGCTCCCTTGCTGCTCCTGCCGCTGTCCCGCACCGCCCCAAATCCAGCTTCTCGCCCCCGCCTCCCCTCCGGATCGCTGCTCTTCCCGACTCCCCCCTCTCTTCCCCTCTTCAAAGCTTAGGATGTTGATGCCCCCTCCTTTCTTTTCCCTCCCCCTCTTTTCTCCTCCTTCTGTGTCTTTCTTCCCACCCTTCCCTAGCCTGACCCATCCTGACTCCTTTCCAGTGAGCTAATCTGCAGCTGGCTGCAGTACAGGCCCCGTTGCTGTGGAAACCCCAAAGACTCGAGGACTCGGCAAAAGGACAGTAAACAGGACCTTCTGCAGGGCAACTTTTTCGGGGGCGGGTGAGGAGGTAGAGAAGGGGGTTAATGACTTCCTCAGCCCTGCTTGCTTTCAGGGGCATGCTAGGTAGTGAAAGGATCCGGGGCCCAGGCCCACGGGACAAAAGAAAAACATACAAATTTGCACATGTTAGTTTGCATATGCTTTAAAGTGTGTGTGTGTGTGTGTGTGTGTGTGTGTGTGTGTGTGTGTGTGTGTGT